CGACGAGAGAGAGAGAGAGAGAGAGAGAGAGAGAGAGAGTTGTGGTTCCATCGTGGATGCTTCACGACGAGCCGTGCTGTTGATGTTTCGATAGGTCAATATGTCCACGGGATCGTCGGCCAGTTTGTCGTTTTGGCCCGCAGATCGAAGGGGGTTGTCAGATGGGGGTTGTTAGAGGATCGTGGACGTAAGTCGATTAGAAGCTGGGTCGTGGGATCGTCGAAACGTTAATGGGTTTCGTCGCCGTTGGCTATCGATGTTAAAATCGATCGTTTCGATTCCCATTTTTCGGGATTAATCGGAGACAACTTTTTTTTTTGCGTGTCTTTACAATATTATCATTTAACCACCATTTTCGATTGGAGAAAGGACGGTCGCGGGAAAATTGCGTCACGTACGGTCGAAAATTTCTGTTCAAAGATGTGTTCGAGAGTGGGAACGGGTGCGCTTTACAGCGGGGGGAGGGCGCTCGTGAATTTCGGGGAATCGTCGGGTGCCGTTGCTTAACGAGAGCGGGGAAACATGGACCAAAGAGTCAATGACGGAAACTTTGCCGCTCCTTTGAAGCGACGTTATATCCAGAGGAGGAGCAATCGCCCCCCTCGTCGTGGAAACTCGAGCTAGCTTTTCCATTAAACGCAGCTGCACACGTTGGGGCGGAAATTCCGCGAAATGGGTCGCGAATAATTGTATCGCGTTATCGCGAAACTCGTAATAACGCTCGGGCTGTAATCGAAATTTCGCGTGTATCGCGAAGAAAAGCGCCGGATGGGTTCGTCAACGACAAATACTCCGCGCGTGCCTCCGTTCAACGAACGGAGATTTTTAATTGCGCTTTGATGGAGCGATAAATAAAGGGAAGTTCGCCAAAGAGTGGACAGAGACGTGCTATGATAACTGGGATGATAGGTCGAATAACGGAGGAGGAAAAGTCGTAAAGGACGATGATAAGGGTAAAGCTTTTTGCCTTGGTCATTTGCCGCGACAGTGACCGAGTAGTGTAGGGCGCAAAAATCACGATTCGAGGAAGAACAAGTAACTCGAAAGACGAAGAATCGTAACGCGAGTTACGAAAATAACGTATTCCTCGTATATAAAATTCTATCGGATAAAATCGAGAAGATTAGAGTAAATACCGTTTCGTTCTATTTTATATTTATTCTCCGCGATCGAATCGAAACTTGGATTTTCCAAAATTAAAAACGAGGGGAACGACCCTTCCTCCTCCCCTTCGATCGATGAACGAGAAAAAGCGAGGTTTCCATTTCTTCCGCTCCATATCCGGAAGGCAGTGATCAACGCTACCCGTTCTTTAGTTCCGGATGCGCCCGAGCGCGTGAAGGCCGTGACCAGTAACGAGGACGCGGTGGTGATATCTTGGCTGCCGCCGCGGCGGCCGAACGGCATTCTCACCAAGTACACCGTCCATATCCGGGTGTTGGACCAGGGCCAGGAGGTGAAGACCATTAAGAGTTCGTTGCCTGCGCAGAACCTGCACCACGAGGCGACCGGGTTGAAGCAGCGCGAGTCCTACGAGGCCTGGGTTACGGCCTCCACCAAAATAGGGCAAGGACCGAGAACTCCGGTCATCAAACTTCAACTGAGCAATACCGGTAAGCCAAACTTTCCTCGGGGAGAGGAGAAGGATTTTCTTCCTCCTTCTTTCTCTTCTTCTTCCTCCCGCTATACTCGCTCCCCGAGGAATCGATTTCCAACGGCTCGATTCGCCAACGATCGGTGCGGTGAACGCGCGGCAGGAAATTGGGCCAATGAAACGTGCAACTTTTATGAAAAATTCCCCACTCTCCGGAGGAATGAGACCGCGCGATCGTGGTTTTGTATCGCGTGCTCGACGATCCTACGATGGATCGATTTTGGACAACGAGAGGGATACACAAGATCGATGTGCGAACGTGAAGAAACTGTTGGATATACACGGTGCTAATGATTGGAATACTTCGCGCCACAAATACCGGTGATCATCGAGTAACCGAACCAGTGATTAACGTCGATACAATAACATATTATCCTTTTTCCATACTACTTTTCACGGAACAAGTTCGCTGTTAAGAGAACAAGATTTCGTTGCAGGCACTCGCTCCCGATCTCGTTCCGTATGCATGGGATATTCAATCGACCCTGTTCCCGCGATTCTTTGCGTTTGAGTTCGACGGAGTTGGCGAAAGTTGATCGACGAGCTCGAATAATATATATACATATACACATATGCACAGAGTTGGCGCAGAGTTCCGAGAATTATGCATTTTAATCCATAACCCTCTCACACGCGTCGTCGTTAATAGAAATCTGAGTTTTGTTTTTCGTCGAAAACTCCCCCCTCCTACCCCATATATATATATATATACACATATTCATATACATAATTCGAGAGAAACAAAGTGAGGAGGAGAAAGGAAAAGGGGAGGGTAGAGGAAGAGGGAAGTTTGGAAAGTGAACTCAAACACGGAGGATCATAGCTGGAGCAAGTTTAACGAAGAGCAAGGATAACCGGGACTTTTAATTAGTTCCAGCAGCTATAATATCGTTCGGAGTGCCGCTCGTGGTGCCTTGGAGGGTGGACGTCAATATGGCCTGTCTTGCCGTCGGTATTCCACGTCCCACGGTGGAATGGCGTCGGGGCGACGTCAAGTTGCAGCAGAAGTGAGTGGCGAAAGTGGTGGAATCCGAGGATATATATCCTGTATCGCGTTGATCGCTGACCGAGTTTTTCTTATTTTTCCTTTTTTCATCGGACAGGTCGGACATCGGGGCGGACAACGCGTTGACGTTGAGGAACGTGCAGAGAACTCACGAGGGCAACTATTCCTGCCACGTGAAGAATTCCCTCGGTTCCGATGAAATCGTGTACACGCTCCAAGTACAAGGTACGTGGAACTTGATCGTTCGCCAGGATAAGATTCCGTCGAACGATCGGGATTCTTCATCCCTCGTCGATCGTTTGGGAATAATTTTCCCGTTATTCGATGAAAGAAGGGACACGGATTCCATCGTTGTTTGCGAAATATCCTGGAAAATCCTTTGGTATATTATATTTTTATCTCTCGTGAAAGCTAATTATGAAATTGTATCTCATACAGGTCGAGGTTTAAAGATGGAATTCACGCATACGATGCACGCATCTCCATTTATTATTATTATTATTATTATTAACTTTCAATAACGATAACGTTTACAAAAATTTTTTTTCTCTTCCCCATTCGACTCGATATAAAATTCTCGCCACTCGAAACGCTCGCGTAAATGGTGTTTTTTAGCTCTCGCGAGAAACGAATAACCACGGTGGGGTGGCAAATCGGGTCAACGGGTCGCGTTCCCGTCGAAAACGGGACGACAGGACACGGGGAACGGTGTCCCCCCTCCCTGGGAAATTTTCACTCCTTTTTCGCGCGCATCGCATGGATATTATCGCGGTAATGAACGGGAACGGGTCACAGGAGGGGTGAAAAAGCTTGTCACCGACCGGGTTCGTTAAAAGTTGCAAAAACCAAATCGTTTTTTCGTTGCGGTGGTCGCACACAATTATCCCGCATAATTCGTCCGCTGGTTGAAAATTCGAGCGCCACTGTTCGGACTCCTCGTTACGTGAAACGTCACGACTTTCGATCGTGGAACGCATACGAATTCGCATGCGATCGAATTTCGAAGTTTCTTCTCCCTCTTCTTCTCTTCGTTCGAAATCGCCCCGTTCTCGAGACCGGCGTGTTAATCGCGCGTGTGTAAACTTTGCGCAGTGCCGCCAACTCCGCCGACTTTGCTCGCCACCGGCACCACGACCGACGCGGTCCAACTGCAATGGAAACAGGGGGACAACGGGGGCGCCCCCATCAAGGGATTCCTGCTGGCGTATCGTCGCGAGTTCTCCGAGTGGGAGGAAGTGATGATCGACAGGAAGGCGAACACGTATCTTCTGGAAGGATTGCAGTGCGGGACCAGGTACCAGTTCACGTTGGCGGCGTTCAACAGGATCGGTAGCGGGAGCGCGAGCAAGATCGAGACGGCGAAGACGAATGGGACGAAACCGATCCCGCCCGTCAAGCATCAGTTGATCAAAGCGAATCAAACGTTCGTTACGTTGGAGTTGAACTCGTGGCAAGACGGGGGCTGTCCTTTGCTCTACTTCGTGGTCGAATACAGGAGGTTGCCCGGTGATTGGTTGCTCTGTAAGTTGCACTTCGATATTCGATTCCCTCGTATAAAATAATTTCATCGCCCAATTTTTCCCCCCGCTTTTCTCGTCGATCGATCGACCCGAAAAGCCAAAGCCGAAAATATTTATGGTAAAACGTGGAAAGCCTCGAAAATTGTCCCCGGAATGTTCTCAGCCAACGCGTCGTCGCGATCTGTTTCACGCAACGAGCCTTACTCTCTGTTCCAGTCTCGAACAACGTGCAACCACAATCGAGATTCTCCATAGTGAACCTGGATAGCGGCGCCAAATACGAGCTCCGCGTCACTGCGTACAATAACGCGGGCTCGACGCAGGCCGAATACTCGTTCACCACGTTGTCGCCGACCGGTAGCAATCGAATACACGACGAGCACCCGCCCGAAACCGAGGAGACCTCGCTTCTCTTCGACGCCCACGTGCTCGCGCCTAGCGTCATCTCGCTTCTGGCCGTGTTCCTCACGGTGGCCGGCGTCTGCTTTTGCTTGAAAACACGTGAGTCCTCCATTCGTATTATTCGCCCTCACCGATATCAAAGGTATAAATCTCTGGATCGGATCGAGCAAGGCGCCAAAGGATCTCGTCATCCGATCGAGCGACATTTTTTACACCCACGCTTTTACGATTGGGAAAAGGCGATAGATATAACCGAAAATTCGAATTCATTTCCGCGTTATCGCGTATGCTCAAATAACCGTGCATATAATTAAAATCGCCGGCGGATGTGTATCTCGCATTGTATTGAAACAAGCGATATCAAACAAAGAACCATCGAATCGATGTTCAATTAACGATCCTAATTGCCTATATTTAAATATATTGATATAAAACACGAGTGCACACAGCATCGAAAAGCATAATTCCGCGTTGCATCGGAATCGCACTCCTCGTCCCTACAAACGAAATTCACCCGATGCGTTCTCGCGCTTTGTCCACCCAATCGCAAACTATGCTTCTCGACCTAACCTCGCTACGATTGCATCTCTGATCCAACAATCGGCCACTCTCCAATTCTTCTAAACTCTCCAATTCCCTTGATCGAATCGTAGTAGGTACAAAATCGAAGATCGATCAAAGGACATCGAGTCCATCCAGATCCGGATCGTCCAGAACGCCGTTCATTTCTCGGAGGAAAGGGGAGACGAAAAGGGTTTCGATGGATAGGATTTCAACGGTGGCGGCAATTTGCATTAAGGGAAGGAAGGGTGTGTTGCTGGCGCCACGCTCGTGCCACTCGTCGTTATCGAGTGGCTAAACGTCGCGATATCGTGCTCCAATTACCCTGCGCTCTTCGAGGGGTGGCGAGATATCGTCCGGCTAAAATTGATCCCTTCCCTTCTTTCCTTTCTCCCTCCTCCCTCCGTGGACGCGATTACTTCGAATCGAATCGAATCGAATATATTCGATTATTAATTAAAAGCGAACGAGGCATTTCCACGCAATTATATCAACCGGTTGTTGACGGTAACGCGCCACGATCGTCCCCTCCCCTCCCCCGGCACGCGCGGAACGGATCCGGCAAATATTTACGCGACCACGATTAGTGGAACGCGACACGACGACGTCGTTTCACTCGTCGAATTCCTCGTTTCCGCCGGGGAATCTCTCCGGCGAAAATTTGATCCCGCTCGATAGATGGCAGGCGCTGTACACTTACGAGATAACCGCGATCTCCTTTTCGAGATAAGTGTTGTTACAAGTTTAATCGACGCGAGTCCTTTGTTCGCTTTCAAACACTTTGATGGTTGGACGATGAAAGCCTGGCTCCAATTTCTCTTCGGTAACGCGATGGCGGTGGTGGTGGTGGTGGTAACAGTGTTCTGATCGAGCGTTTGGTAAAACGATTCGGTGATTTTATTAGAGTGCCTCGTAAATTTCTTTCTTTTTTTTTTTTTTTGATACGAAACGAATACGAAACGAACACGATATTCGTTGTTTAAGATTGATTTATATATGAATTGTTCTGCTCTATCATCTTCTAAAATTGTTTTGTGAGGTTTACTTGCGAAATATTTTTCAGATGCGTTTTTATTATATACAGCTTTTCTCTTACAATATGCGATTTCGCGTTGCCGTGATGAAAAAACGCCGTTTTTCTTTCGATTTATCAAGTTATCATTATCTCATTGCAGTATTTGACAGAATTGATTGTTTCACCTTGAGGAAGGAGCTCGTACTAGTCTTTCCAATCCCACCAAATGAACAAAAGAACGGTTTAAAGTCCAGGCTTCGCGACAATCTATTATCCTTCCTTGGAAGTGCGTTTTCGATGCACGTTTGATCCGAGTCTCGTCTCCGGTGACAAGCCTCTTTAAAAAAGGATCTCTTTCGTGTCGCTGGAGAAACGAATCGCGCGTAGATTCACAAGTACAAACTTGGCATCGATCGATCAGGTGATTATGTCGTCCTGGAAATGTTAACTATCTCGCGCTATATCGGAGATTTTGGCAACGATAAAGTTCCATATAGCGTTCATCCAAATCTCTTATACCAATTGTGGACGGTTTTAAACGGTTTTACAAAAATCTCCTTTTCACTATCGTTTGCGCTATTACCTTTTTTTCAAAGCAACGAAGGACAACACGCCTCAAATGCTTCCTCCATCCATAATGAACGACGTAGAAAAAAGTTTCAAAAGAGTTTTCTGTCACCAACGAAATTTTCATAAAAGTCATCCCTTGTTGAGAAAGAAACTTACGATATATTCCTCGCTCAATTCACGAGATTCGTTCTGTTGTATAAACGGATGATTTTCAGACGCGGAGCGATCGGGGAGAGCGAACGATCCGAGCTCGCAAACCCAGGCGGCGCTGGAGAACAAGCACAACATGGAGCAGAGGGAACAGTACTACGCGACGGTGAGGAAGCCGGGGCAGCAGTCGCCCTGTCGCGAGGTGAGCGCCCTGGAAAGAATACCCGAATATTCCGAAGACATTTATCCGTACGCCACCTTCAATCTGCCCGAGCAGGAAAACCTGTCGGCGAACCCGATGCGACAGGCGTTCTACTACGAACGCAGCGAAACCATGCTGCAAGGCAATCAGGTGCGATAAATAGCAATGATACGAACGCGCGGCCTATAATATTTGTTAATCCATCGAGAAACACCTCTTTCGTCTCGCGCCAAAGAAATGCATCTTCGTCGCGTAAGCGAGTCGATGCGACGATTTGCTTCTACATACACGCGCATATATCCCGTGAAAGTAGCGAGTTACTCCTCCAAAGTGGAGACTTTGGCTCGTAAGTAAACGTCTCTTCGAGGGGGAGGGGAAACTCGTTACGCGATGAATCTCGACACACGAAGGGAGAGGGGTTTCCAGGAAGGCGCGTGGAAATCTAATTTAAAGAAAATGGGGGAGAGAATGGGAGGAGCGTAGAGTAAGGAGCGTTTGGACGCGTTTCAGTGCGACATGGAGCAGTACACGAAGGTGCGGGGAAGGCGAGGCGGAAGTCGAAGTCGTTCAAGTCGGAGTCGGAGGAGTACGACACCCTGGGCTCGGACAGCGACACGGAGGTGGGGACGAGCAGTCGGACCGAGTCCTCGAACCACCTGGACGACTCCGGTCCGGCGTCGATAATGACGCGTTCCCCGGGGCCGAATTCGATCGGGCAGAGGGAGCAGCGACTAGCCCTTGTCCCGAGGCCGGTTCATCATAGTAAGTTAGTATTCGATTTTCTGTGTCGACGCCGGCAACAGCCTTAAAACAAGCGATCCAAGCCGCCACTAACGCATCACGTTTCTCGCATCGACGTGTCTCGCGCGCAGATGTGCTGTACCACACGCACGAATCAAGTACATCAACCGAGCCGTCACCAATTTCTGAGAGGAAGACTTTCCCGAGGCTCGAGAAGCAAAGGTAAGAACGCCGTTGGTTGGGGAAACGAGGCGAGATCCATGCTCGTTCGTCGATTTCCAGGAATCAAGGAGCAACGCCCGACATGGGGATGGACGGTCGAGTGCCGGGGATACTGCGGCCCGTGATGAAGCTCTCGGATTCCGGGATGCATTCGTATTCGAGGGGAGGGTCGCCGAGTCAGGGTGGGAGGCCTGGGTCCTGCGATCGGCTGGGGAAGGATCCGAGCCCGAGGAAGTCGGTAGAGTCGTTGTGCCTGCTGGAGGAGCCCGGATCGTCCAGAATGGCGAGGAGGGAGGAGGACTGGGGCAGCGAGCTGTCTACGTTGGAACTGAAACCGCCGACAGGTTTCACGGACGCGCACGAGACCAGCGAGGCCGAGTGCGATATCGACATGAAGCTGAAGCTCCACAGGAAGAGGACGGGTTTTCCTTCTAACTCGCTCTCCAAATCACCTAAAGACTTCACTATCACTGTCTAACTGTGTTAATCAAATATTCGAAGAAAAAGAAAAGAAAAAACGAAACGAAACGAAACGAAAAAAACGAAACGCTAACGAAACGAGTAAAGAAAGAAAGAAAGAAAGAAAGAAAGAAAGAAAGAAAGAAAGAAAGAAAGAAAAAAAACGATATATCGCATAAGGAACACAGATACACGCACGTACAT